AACATTGGTGTTGGATACATGTGCTGGATGATTTGGTGTCACGCAGACTGGTAAGATTGCCGTTTGGTAAGGGGCACCGCGATGATCCACGGGGTACCTCCTTGCTGTGCGAGCCGCTGTTTGAGCACTCCCTCTTTCGTCCATGTGAAGGACGGTCGTCTACCTCTCGTGAAGTTAATACATCACCAAAACAGTCTCACCCGAAAAATAAGTGGCGTAGGCCGCAAACAAGTTGTGCAGGTGCAGGATGTGCCTGCTGCGGTGCTGCGTGATGAGCGCGCCGCTGGTGATGTGCCGGTGCAGGCGGCGCTTGTGGCAACGACTCACCTTCAGGCGGAGGAGGCGTCTGATGGAATAGAGTTTGTCGCGTACACCAACGTGTTTCAAGTGGAAGTGGTGAATCCCTCCGCTGTTGGAGACACGACTGTATACATCGATTCTGCCGCTTCTAGCCACATGATATGCACCGAGTCCCGCCTGTCCAAACATGTTCGTGATCCGGTGGACTGCACCGTGCGTATCATCGGGTCGTGTGGTACCTCAAATGCAACCAAGCAAGGCACAATAAAATTTGGAATTCGGAACGATAAGAACACGGTGGTACCCGTAGCGGTCGAAGTTCTGCTGGTTCGCAACCTAGGAGCGAACATCTTGTCGGGTGGAGCTTTGGCCGAGAAGGGGGTGATGTGTGATCCATTGTCGACCCAGCCGGCGCTTCGTCATGTCAACCATGTTTTCCCCATCTCGACGGCGGTGCGGCTGATGTACGTCGTGAAAGTCATCATCGACGACGTCAATCTTGACGCCGCCGAGGTGTACCGCACCAAGGTCGACGCTGATATGTGGCATTGTAGAATGGGTCATTGCCACCCACGTCATCTGCAGCAGCAGCTGGCGGACAAAGCGACAACCGGAGTGGAGTTCAACCGGAACATCGAACCAGGTGACTGCGGGGCTTGCGCGGTTGGCGACGGCAAGAAAGGTAGCCACCCCCCGTCGAATCGCACTCGAGCCACGACTCGGCTTGAGATTCTGAGCGCCGATG